ACCCCTATGTTTATTGCGGCCCTATTTACAATAGCCAAGACTTGGAAACAACCGAAATGCCCATCGGTAGAAGACTGGATTAAGAAACTGTGGTACATTTACACAATGGAGTATTACTCAGCTATAAAGAAGAAGGAAATTGTACCATTTGCAATGATATGGATGGACCTAGAGACTATAATGTTAAGTAAAATAAGTCAGTCAGAGAAAGACAAATACCATATGATTTCAGTTATATGTGGAATCTAAAAAACTGAATGAATGAGCAAAGTAAACAGAAATGGTCTCAGAGACATGGAGGAACAACTGATGGTTGCTAGTTGGGAGGGGTTGGGGATGAGGGAGAAAGGGAAGGGATTAGACAGCATAATTAGGTAACTACAATATTGCCAAGGGATATGAAAGACAGTTCGAGGAATATAATTAATAATGTTGTAAACATTTTGTAGGTGTCAGATGGTCACATGTCTTGTTAGGGGGACCATATCATAGATGGGGCAGAGGCTTGATCACTGCACTGTACACCTGAAGCTGATGTTGTATAACATTGTATGTCAACTATAATTGAATACATATATAGTCACAGGATGTAGAGTATGGTGTGGGAGTGGAGTCAAGGGAATTGTAATAGATATGTATGATATTGGGAAAGTGGGGTGGCGGATTGGGGGAGGGGGTTGTCACTTCAAGGGGTAAAAAGTATAACTATTGCACTGTGTTGTACAGCTGAAACTAATTTTAGTACTCAGCGTGGGAGCCTCTTTGCTGCTCAGCGTGCTTGGTAGAGGTGTGTTTGCTGCGCTCCAGCTGCTCAAATTGCTGTGCTTTCCAGGGGAGAACTCAGGGAGCCCTCCTCACCGCCGCCGTTTTTTTCAATTCTTGTTTTTCTTTTTTCTTCTATAGAAAGTGAATATATTTTTTAAGAAATCTAATTTCTTTCTATCAAACTAATCTGAAAAGAAATTATCCGCTAGAAACCAGGCCTACCAGAATTAACTGCCTTTGCCCTGAAGTTTGAGGTTTACTATTTCTAACAAAGCAGGCCAATTGTTTCAGCCCATCCCACCCCTTTAATCCCAGGAAAGCAGTGCTTAAACTAGTTTTTTAAAATGTGTATTTCATAATAAAATAATAATAATAATAATAAAATTTTAAAAAGAATGTGGGCTTTCTGGTCAGGTAGACCTGAGTGGGCTCTGCCACTTGGGCAAAAAACAAAACTCTGAATGTCAAGTACCTTTTCTGTAGAGTAGGCTTAAAAATATCTGTGGGCATCACTGAACTATTTTGAGGATTGAATCAGGTTACATATGTAGAAAACTTAGTTGAGCATCTGAACCCTGGCTAGTATTCAACGAATAAGCACTAATATTGGGATGGCTGCCTATGGACAGGAGAGATCGCAGTACGTCAGAGGGGATTTCAGGAAGTGACACTAGATATGGCTGTTGATGGAAAAGCAAAGCTTGTAAAAAAAAAAAGGTGAGGAAAGCATTTAAACGGAACTGTAGGAAAGACTTTAGGGTGGATGTTGGGACATCTGGTGCACCAGAGTAGTGACTTCCTCCCAGCCACACAGCCAGTTTAGAAATACTGGTCCTAAAATGCGAATTTCAAGTTCTCTTCTTTCCTTCATCAACTTCATTAGCCATTTTCAAATCATTCAAGTAATACAATCACAGTTTAAAAATTAGAAATAGAGCAAGGGAAAAAAAAGTCCCCACCTTCCAAAACCCTAACCCAACTTCCATTAACATTTTGGTATGTCTCCCTTCAAGCTTTTTTCTAATCTTTACAGCTTTAAAGGTAAATATAATATATACCATTTGAATATACACACACACACACACACACACAAACACACACACACACACACACCCCACACAGGGTCTGACAATTAAGTTCCTGAACTTGTTGGAACAATGTTACTAACCTTTTTTGGTATCACAGGGATTATTCATTATGAATTTGTACCAACTAGACAAACAGTTAACTAAGTTTATTATTTGGAAGTGCTGAAAAGGCTGCATGAAAAAGTTAGATGACCTAAACTTTTCACCAACAATTCATGGATCTTGCATCACGACAATGCACCAGCTCACACGGCACCATCTGTGAGAAATATTTTAGCCAGTAAATGAGTATCTGTATTGGAAAACCCTCTCTACTCACCTCATCTGGCCCCCAAACACTTCATTCTTTACCCGGAGATAAAGGAAATGTTGATAGGAAGACATTTTGATGACATTCAGGACATCAAGGGTAACAGAACAACAGCTCTGAAGGCCATTCCAGAAAAAGAGTTCTAAAATTCCTGTGAAGGGTGAACTAGATGCTGGCGTTGGTGCATAGCTTCCCAAGAAAAGTACTTTGAAGGTGACCATAGTGATATTCAGCAACGAGGTATGGAGCACTTTTTCTAGGATGAGTTCGCAGCATACATGGTTCCTCTCAGGCCATGTCTCATCTCCCAGAACACAGAACCCAGACTCAAATCCCAACTCTCCACCCCTTGGAAGCTCTTTGTCCCTAATCATGTTATGCTATGACCTTCCTGTTTCTCAGGCTTGCTGTTAGAACCTGTAAGCTTATGTATAAAATAAAGGGCAGCCAACTTCCCTGGTAAAGCCCTAGAAGTAGGGGTCCCTCCTCTCCTCACACTTCCCACTGGAAGGTCAGCTGCATGAGAACAGGGTTATTGCCCATTTTTGTCCACTACTGAGGTCCTAGCATCAGAACAATGCCTGGTATGCAGCTGGCACTCAAGCAATGCCTGCATATTGAACAATTCACTCTCCCACAGTCTAAACCCAGCAACAACAGACTGATCATCCACCAGGGGTGGAGAACCTAGTAGGTCCAGAGTTCTCTTCAGATTCACCAACTAAGACCCATCCATGAGCAAGCATCCGTTGTTCATGTGCTGAGTGGTGAAGCACAGCGTTGAAGAAAGAAGAGGCAAGAGGATACGATTAACTACATAATTCTTCTTTTTCCTCCTTCAACAAAATAGTTACTAACAAATACTTTATGTACAATATCCTACAATTCTGCCATCATGCAATCACTTTACTAGTCCCATACCACAGATGAGGAATCAGAGGCTTAGAAAGGTAAGCAATTTAGCCAAAGTTAGTTAATCAAGATGGGTTTTGAGCCCAGATAATCTTATTTCATACCTGTCCCACTAACCTTACCTCTGTCATTAGGCAACAGGTAGTTAATGGGCACCCGCTATGTGCTGGCCCAGCATTGGCAGACGCAGACTGTCCCTGCAGAGGATTTATGGTCCAAAGGGGCACCTTCTGGAAACATGTTCTTGGGCTCCTATGCGCCCAGGGCAGNGCCTCACCCCTCCACTAGCTCTAAACACAGCAAGCAAGCATACAAGCCCCCCAACCCCTCCTCCAGCCTCCACGGGCACCTCTCTCGCCAACCCCCCATGGCACCCCAGTCCTGAGGGCCTTCTCTCTGTCCCCAGCCAGACCAAGCTCTTCCCTGGTGATGGGCTATTCTCCCTCCCCACTGTCCACCAACTCCGAAGGATCTTTCGGGTTCCCTTCACTGCAACTTCCTCGGGAAGCCTTTCTTTACCCCACATAGCTCCCAAACTGCTTAGGTCTCCAAGCTTGACAATTTCTAGCTTAATATCACAGATGCCAGATCTCCTGGGATAATACAAATCTCAAAGGCTCTGGTCTGGATCACCTAGCCCAGAAACACATCCCCTGAGAATGTCTTCAAGGTTCCTTTCCCAACTAGACCAGGACTTTGCTCAGGGCTAGGTTGGCAGGAACTGAAGTGTATTCTCTTAGCATCCCAGAACTCAAGTTGGTGTGCACAAATGCTTGTTGAACAAGTAAATGAATGAGTGACTGATCAGAGTCTAATTTCTGGCACCCCCTGTTCCAAGCTTTCCAAACTGGATTCATAGGGTTGTGCTCACAATCCCAGATCTAAATAAAATAATATGGAAAATGGGATGAGAAATGGCTTTTCCTTGGGGTTCATTTCCCTGATCTCTGACTTTGCTGTGTTCCCTGCATTCCTCCACTCCTTTTGTCCTCAGCCTGAACTTATTTTATATTGAGTAATGTGCAAGGTCCAAAATCAGTTACTGGGTAACAAATCTTGCCACCTGCTCCTTAGTGAACTGTGCCATCTGATAGTAATAGTTTTCTGGTGTGTCTAGTAAAACATTTAAGACCTGCCACAAACACAAACCCTTTAAAAAGGGCATTTGTTGTTTGATATTAAATATAATAAATACACATGGAGTAAAAGTCAAATAGAACTAAGTGAATATGTAGATCCTTATTATTCTTCCTCCTGCCCTGGACTCTCCTCTTACCATGTTAACAAACAGGCAGCATGTCTCTCTGTTTATATATACATATAAACACATAAACACAGAGATTAGCCTTCACTGACTTGTAAAAATTATAGCATATTGCATATCCTGTTGTTCCTTAAGCTTTCTTCTGATAGTGATATAGGTTAAGAAGTTTTTATTAGCATATGTTGCTCAATCTAATTCTTTTAAATGACCCCTGGTATCCCATTGAATATATATATCATGATTGATTTAACTAGACCCATATCAATGGGTACTTAGGTTTTCATCTCCGTTGTTACCACATTATATAGTGGAATAAATATTGTTACGTCAGCATATTTTTTCACATGCCCAAGCACATACACTCCTAAAAATAGATTTCCTGGGCACAAACATTTAAAATTTTGCAAGATACAGACAATCAAAGAGCTTGCACCAATTGATACATCCACATACACTTTTGGATTTGTTTTGTCTTAATTTCTGGTTATGAATCAGCAGTGATTTGGGGGTACTTCAGATTTTAGTCTCTCCTCCTGTTTGGTGTAACAAAGACCTGAGAAAATAATATCTCAAATGAACCTTTGCTCTGGCGAAGTCACTTGGTTGGTGAACCCTCTCATTCTATGGTCTATCTTTCTCCAAGTAAGGTGTTCATCCACAGATGTCAAGCATCCTGGTATGCCCTGGCAAAGAAGATTACAAACGCACACAAAAGTAGCTACCCTCCCTGCACACCCTCTGGTTATGGCAAAATTTTGGGGGAAAGTACATGTTTTAATTTGTTTTCTGATCTGTCAAATGGATACAGTATAGTGTTTCCTCAACTGGTTATTGTGGAGATTACTTTGGGGATCATATACACACCTAGGATAGGCTAGGCACTCAACAATGGTAATATTGTTATTGCAGACATATTTGCACATAGTTACAATGCACTGAGGCTCAAAATATTGGCATATTTAGGCATTTATTCATTTAACACATATTAAGGACCCACCACATGCCAGGCACCATGGTAGCTGCTGAGGACACAAAATTAAACTGGCCTTTAGGAAGCCCTGTGTAGAGCAGTTAAGAATGTGGACTTTCTGGATATTTGCCAATGATATATCTGATAAGGGGTTAATATCCAAAATTTATAAAACACTCATTCAACTCAACACCAAAAAAACAAACAACCCAATTAAAA